GGAGCCTTTTATAGCCGACTATACGGTATAGGTTTTTCTCATTGTTGAAGGTCGTATGGTTGCATATAATTACTTACATCCACTTCATTTGAACTTTGGTTGATAGTTTTCTCATTGCGTGGCAATCATACCACATCTCCTTATTGTTATATTACACACCTATCCCAGATCTGACTGTGATAGATTCCCCCGTACATCAATAATGTTTTGACACCTCTTTCTCCAAATCACTGTGATATTCCAGCTTACACCAACTTACATGATCAATGTTCCCACTGAAAGAACAATTGTTTGAATCGCAGCATGGGGCATAGTAAAATATGGTCAAAATTAAAAATGCAATTATTCCATTCAGATCTATTGGCTGTTTAAATGGCATTTTAATGTTAATTTTGATCAAGTGGAAAATTAATCACATTTTAACTGATTCGGGTTAATCACCACTTCAAATGCTTAGTTTATATATACTTGATATATTTAAAATTTAAATTCTTCACTCAGTTAGAAGTTAAAGATATTGTTTTTATCCTTTTAGGATTAAAATTTGTCCGTGCTAAAAAGATTGATTTTTTTCTTATGTCTAGCTGAAAATTAAAAAAAAACAACTTAAAAACAAAGAGTTCTACTTTTTACATTATACCATAATTCTAAAACTACATGTATTTGGTTTCTGGTGTTTATCCTAAGAACATCTCATTATTAAGTTTATTTGTTATTTAGTTGTAGTAAATACAGATAGATTGTATGTGTAATACGATCAATAGCAATCTTGCTGTATCAACCATCCGTGATATCGATATCAGTCACGGTTGCAAAGGCTTTTTAAAACAACATATATGATACGGCTTGTTCAATATCATATACTAGTACCATATCAACCCTCCACCAATATAATCCCTCGAGCAGAGCTGTTTTGGGATTATATTGGTGTCTCGGGTTGATACGGATGTGATATTGAAAACGCCATATATGATATTCTCTATTGATGTCATACGCTCCAAATTCAAACTTTCAAGTTTTAAAAATTTTGGAAATCCTCATAGTAATATTCCTGTGGCAAAACATTTCTTGTACTAAAATGAATACAGAAAATTTTTATCCAGCTTGAAACTTCAACTGATATCAAATTCATTTCCCATCTACAAAGTCGATTCTTACATTTTATAAATATCTTCAGGAAAAGCGTACGCGAATTGGCGAGGAGACTTAAGGCTTACTGGAGTTTACTGAAAAGATTTCGTCAAAGCGTTTTCAAGTTATTGCACGAACAACGCTCTATCTATCACTTTTTGCTACTTAACGGTCTACAACTCAACAACGATAAAAGCTAAAATCGTGAAATTCGAACTTGATCTTCATTTATTTACAGTAAACAAGATATCTAAATTTGAAAAGATTTCGTCAAAGCGTTTTCAAGTTATTGCACGGAACTGTTTGGCAGCCGCCTGCCGACGTACATCACCAAATTAATAACCGATATTTTCCTTTGGAAATCCGGTTAATTATAAATTCTATATAGTCACATAGCTTTGGAATAGTAGGGCTTTGATTAATGCATTTATTCAATAGAAGTCCTTGCCAAAGTGTGGCTGCATGGGATGTATAAAGTCTGTCAGAATAGGGACGTTAAATCCGCTGCATCGTGTGGAGAGAGTCTGGTTCCCTGCACGTTGGAAATCCTTGCAAAACATGTTAGCCTTAGTTATCCTCCAAAGGGCCAAGCATTTATATACTCTGTTTGCAATGGTTCAAGCTTAGTACTCCTTCGAAAGGCCAAGCATATATAATCTGCAATGTTTCAACCTTAGTATTCCTCCGAAAATCAAAGAATGTGTACTCTGTTTGCAATGCTTTAACCTTAAAATTAGTATTCCTCCGAAAGGCCAAGCATATATTCTCTTTTTCTTATGCTACACCTTTCGAATTTTTCAGAAAGGCATAGCATATAAACCTTATTTCCCATACTAAACCTTAATATTGCTCCAAAAGGCTAAGCATATAGTCTGTTTCATATGATAAAACCTTGGTATTGCTCCAAAAGGCTAAGCATATAGTCTGTTTCATATGATAAATCCTTGGTATTGCTCCAAAGTGCTAAGCATATAGTCTGTTTCATATGATAAAACCTTGGTATTGCTCCAAAAGGCTAAGCATATAGTCTGTTTCATATGATAAAACCTTGGTATTGCTCCAAAAGGCTAAGCATATAGTCTGTTTCATATGATAAATCCTTGGTATTGCTCCAAAGTGCTAAGCATATAGTCTGTTTCATATGATAAAACCTTGGTATTGCTCCAAAAGGATAAGCATATAGTCTGTTTCATATGATAAATCCTTGGTATTGCTCCAAAGTGCTAAGCATATAGTCTGTTTCATATGATAAAACCTTGGTATTGCTCCAAAGTGCTAAGCATATATAGTATGTTTCATATGATAAAACCTTGGTATTGCTCCAAAAGGCTAAGCATATATAGTCTGTTTCATATGATAAAACCTTGGTATTGCTCCAAAAGGCTAAGCATACATGTATATAGTCTGCTTCATATGATAAAACCTTGGTATTGCTCCAAATGCTTCACCTTTAGTACATTTCACAACTTATTCAGTTTCATAGAAATTTTCTAATGAAGCTTTGATAGTGCTACCTTTCATACATTGTATATATGCAAAATTACCTTTTACAGGCTTAAAGATATCATAAACTTGTGAAATCTTTTTATTTTTGGAATTGTTCCAATTCTTTCCTAAGGCACTGGCCTCCTAAACAGAAGTTAACCAGCTTAGGTTCTTAATCAATAAACACTACAATATAGTTCCCAATAGTTCTCTTCACTTCCAAGGTGGTCTCATGGTTGCATGTCCGCCTCAAGTATGGGAGGTCGTGGGTTAAAACCCTGGCAGGGTAAAACCAACGACTGCAAAATTGGTATTTGCTGCTTCTCAGCTAAGAATAATGTGACCGGTAGGGTGACATGTCTTCCTGCAGAGTATTACCTTTGGAACTAGTACCTTTTTTCTGGCTCAGCATGTGGCGCTAGTACAAAGTAGGCTTCATATCAATTCATATCTCATGAACTAGTACCTTTTTTCTGGCTCAGCATGTGGCGCTAGTACAAAGTAGGCTTCATATTAATTCATATCTCACGAACTAGTACCTTTTTTCTGGCTCAGCATGTGGCGCTAGTACAAAGTAGGCTTCATATTAATTCATATCTCACGAACTAGTACCTTTTTTCTGGCTCAGCATGTGGCGCTAGTACAAAGTAGGCTTCATATTAATTCATATCTCACGAACTAGTACCTTTTTTCTGGCTCAGCATGTGGTGCTAGTACAAAGTAGACTTCATATTAATTCATATCTCACTAACAAGTTCTCGTCCTGTATATGCATTTAATTTGCAACTGGACTTTAAACAGCCATCCATTCATCCCTATAACTATTATGTCTGTGTACAAATGCTAATATAAAATTATTTCCATACTCCATGTATACCTTACAACAAGATTATTTTTATTTACCGGTGTACGTTATTTTATTTGGCGGTATTTTGTCCAAGGTTAGGGTTGTCTTTCTGTTATTGTTTTACATCTAACCCCCTTGTTTTATTAATTTTGTATTAACATTGTGTCATATATCAAATTTATTCGTTCAGTGTATGTTCACTTGTTTTTGTTAATATGTCTTTTGATTGAGTGAAGCCATTTCAATTGATATTTTATAGTGTGTCTTTCTATGTTGTGATATTTCACTATTGTTTCAGGTTAGGGTGAAGGTTGGCGCCTATTAAAACGTTTAAACCTGCTGCATTTGTTTGCACCTGTCCTAAGTCAGGAACCTGATGTTAAGTGGTTGTCGTTTGTTGATGTGGTTCATAAGTGTTTCTCATTTCTCGTTTTTTATATAGATTAGACCGTTGGTTTTCCTGTTTGAATGGTTTTACACTAGTCATTTTTGGGGCCCTTTATAGCTTGCTGTTCTGTGTGAGCCAAGGCTCTGAGTTGAAGGCCGTACTTTTACCTATAATGGGTTACTTTTACAAATTGTGACTTAGATGGAGAGTTGTCTCATTGGCACTCATACCACATCTACTTATATCTATTGTGAAAAAAAAATGGGTTATATCTTTAGAACGGATCTTTCAAGTATGTTTGTCCTTAGTTTTTGTTTAGTTATTTTTATGAGGTAAGATTACTGATGCATATCAGTTTAATTTACTACTGCCACGATCAACCAACAATTAGGTACAAGGTGGAGCCTTAATTAGAATGTCCCACCCTCTTAAATGCCAATCATATTTACATAATTACTTCTTACATAATTCAGCTTATATGAAGTGCAAGAATAAATTAAAACATTAACTTAATACTTATTGTTATACAGTAATGAATTCTTACAGTCCTTTATGCTGTTGATACATTGTATTTATATTTTGGCATTACCAAGGTCATGTTTTTTTTCATACTGGTCATTATGTCTTTACATTAAATCCACTAGATGTGTACTGATTGATATTATAGTTTGGGAATCATGATTTATTTACTCTTAGATCAGTAGCTGTGTAATTCGTGTTTATGTTAGTTGTTTTCTGTATGTGCCTGTCCAAAGCCAGAGATCTGTTATTCATTGGTTGTCTGGTTGTGGTTTATCATATTGGTTTTTCATTCATTGTTTTGTACATAAATCAGACCATTGATTGTGTTGAGAATTTTTTTACATTTTGTCACCTCAGGGCCTTTTATAGTTTTATATATTTACTCATTGTTAATGGCCATAAGGTGACCTATCATTGCTCTTTAAATAAAGTCATTACTTACTTACTTACTTACTTACTTACATCAACATCATTTGGTCTATGGTGAATGGTTGTCTCATTGGCAATCATACCATATCTTCTTATTTTGAATATACTTGTACAACACCAAAAAACAATCAAAATTTAAGGGAAACACACCAGTATAACTAGGCACCATATTTATAATATCAAAAATTACACTGTATGAGAAATGTTTTTATATTAAGGATGGTAATATTCCAAACCATCTTCTTAATAAAGTTCACATTTGTCTGTTAATAGTGTATTTTGTACTATAAAGGTTGTCAACTATCAGCACATATTACATATATATATGTAAGAGTCTCATTTACAATCATCATTAAGAACTATTATTCTCAAACAGTGGCTATGCTGGTTTGCTAACTTGGACGTCAGGCATAAAATAAGACTCCAAAACTTGGTGATATTTTAAGCCTGTCTATATAAGCAACTGGTCCTGTTACAAAATTTGGTGATATATGGCCAAATACCTTTAATACAAGTCTTTGAACCAGCTTATGGTGACCATAACTATCGACCATATAAACAAACAGTTAAGGTGACCATATCTTATGATCAACCATATAAACAAATACTTAAGGTGACCATAACTTATGATCAACCATATAAACAAACACTTAAGGTGACCATAACTTATGATCAACCATATAAACAAACACTTAAGGTGACCATAACTTAGGATCGACCATATAAACAAATACTTAAGGTGACCATAACTTAGGATCGACCATATAAACAAATACTTAAGGTGACCAGAACTTATGATCAACTATATAAACAAATACTTAAGGTGACCATAACTTATGATCAACCATATAAACAAATACTTAAGGTGACCATAACTTATGATCAACCATATAAACAAATACTTAAGGTGACCATAACTTAGGATCAACCATATAAACAAATACTTAAGGTGACCAGAACTTATGATCAACTATATAAACAAATACTTAAGGTGACCATAACTTATGATCAACCATATAAACAAACACTTAAGGTGACCATAACTTAGGATCAACCATATAAACAAACACTTAAGGTGACCATAACTTATGATCAACCATATAAACAAACACTTAAGGTGACCATAACTTATGATCAACCATATAAACAAACACTTAAGGTGACCATAACTTAGGATCAACCATATAAACAAATACTTAAGGTGACCATAACTTATGATCAACCATATAAACAAACACTTAAGGTGACCATAACTTATGATCAACCATATAAACAAATACTTAAGGTGACCATAACTATCGACCATATAAACAAACACTTAAGGTGACCATAACTTATGATCAACCATATAAACAAATACTTAAGGTGACCATAACTATCGACCATATAAACAAACACTTAAGGTGACCATAACTTATGATCAACCATATAAACAAATACTTAAGGTGACCATAACTATCGACCATATAAACAAACACTTAAGGTGACCATAACTTATGATCAACCATATAAACAAATACTTAAGGTGACCATAACTATCGACCATATAAACAAACACTTAAGGTGACCATAACTTATGATCAACCATATAAACAAATACTTAAGGTGACCATAACTATCGACCATATAAACAAACACTTAAGGTGACCATAACTTATGATCAACCATATAAACAAATACTTAAGGTGACCATAACTATCGACCATATAAACAAACACTTAAGGTGACCATAACTTATGATCAACCATATAAACAAATACTTAAGGTGACCATAACTTAGGATCAACCATATAAACAAATACTTAAGGTGACCATAACTATCGACCATATAAACAAACACTTAAGGTGACCATAACTTATGATCAACCATATAAACAAATACTTAAGGTGACCATAACTATCGACCATATAAACAAACACTTAAGGTGACCATAACTTATGATCAACCATATAAACAAATACTTAAGGTGACCATAACTATCGACCATATAAACAAACACTTAAGGTGACCATAACTTATGATCAACCATATAAACAAATACTTAAGGTGACCATAACTATCGACCATATAAACAAACACTTAAGGTGACCATAACTTATGATCAACCATATAAACAAATACTTAAGGTGACCATAACTATCGACCATATAAACAAACACTTAAGGTGACCATAACTTATGATCAACCATATAAACAAATACTTAAGGTGACCATAACTATCGACCATATAAACAAACACTTAAGGTGACCATAACTTATGATCAACCATATAAACAAATACTTAAGGTGACCATAACTATCGACCATATAAACAAACACTTAAGGTGACCATAACTTATGATCAACCATATAAACAAATACTTAAGGTGACCATAACTATCGACCATATAAACAAATACTTAAGGTGACCATAACTTATGATCAACCATATAAACAAATACTTAAGGTGACCATAACTATCGACCATATAAACAAATACTTAAGGTGACCACAACTTATGATCAACCATATAAACAAACACTTAAGGTGACCATAACTTATGATCAACCATATAAACAAACACTTAAGGTGACCATAACTTATGATCAACCATATAAACAAACACTTAAGGTGACCATAACTTATGATCAACCATATAAACAAACACTTAAGGTGACCATAACTTATGATCAACCATATAAACAAATACTTAAGGTGACCAGAACTATCGACCATATAAACAAATACTTAAGGTGACCATAACTATCGACCATATAAACAAACACTTAAGGTGACCATAACTTATGATCAACCATATAAACAAATACTTAAGGTGACCATAACTATCGACCATATAAACAAACACTTAAGGTGACCATAACTTATGATCAACCATATAAACAAATACTTAAGGTGACCATAACTATCGACCATATAAACAAACACTTAAGGTGACCATAACTTATGATCAACCATATAAACAAATACTTAAGGTGACCATAACTATCGACCATATAAACAAACACTTAAGGTGACCATAACTTATGATCAACCATATAAACAAATACTTAAGGTGACCATAACTATCGACCATATAAACAAACACTTAAGGTGACCATAACTTATGATCAACCATATAAACAAATACTTAAGGTGACCATAACTATCGACCATATAAACAAACACTTAAGGTGACCATAACTTATGATCAACCATATAAACAAACACTTAAGGTGACCATAACTTATGATCAACCATATAAACAAACACTTAAGGTGACCATAACTTATGATCAACCATATAAACAAATACTTAAGGTGACCATAACTATCGACCATATAAACAAACACTTAAGGTGACCATAACTTATGATCAACCATATAAACAAACACTTAAGGTGACCATAACTTATGATCAGCCATATAAACAAATACTTAAGGTGACCATAACTATCGACCATATAAACAAACACTTAAGGTGACCATAACTTATGATCAACCATATAAACAAACACTTAAGGTGACCATAACTTATGATCAACCATATAAACAAACACTTAAGGTGACCATAACTTATGATCAACCATATAAACAAATAATAGTACAGAAGACAACCTCATTTATTAGAACTCTAAGTCTCATGTGCTTCTCGAAATTTATGTGAAAATATATATAATAACTATGTAATGATATAAACTTTAGATAAGCAAAACCCTTACTCAGACATGAACATTTTTTTTTTGCAAAATATTTTTATAATATTTAATGTCAGATGAAAGTATTGTTATTTTTCTTCTGAAAACATGTAAATTCAAGAACTTGAGTAAATATAGATTTTTGTGGCATTGGAATATTTAACTTCATTAATACTAGATTTTCTGGAATGTAATTTATTTTTTTATTTGTTGATAAGTGTATTCAGGTTATCAAACTGTTGTGTGTAATGTTATTCCTTTTAAAAGTGTGTTTTATACACAATTAATTTACAACAAGTTCTATTATACATTTTAAATAAAAAAGAAATGATAAGTTTTTTATCTGTTCAATTACTTAGATATTTGTGTAGATTATTACAGACAATCATAATCACTCAAAACATCTCTCCTAGCAAAACACTAACACAAACATCAATACACATATCTATATTATTCTAATATATTTTATATGCCTTAATGACATGAATTATCACACTTAATTTGAATACATTTGAAATACAAATAATTAAGGTTTAACCTCTCTCTTAAGAGTTATTGTATTTTATTTGTCACAAACAATCATCTGATTAAAAGTTTGATGGATGCAATCTCAGCAAAGTCAGTCAATATTAAAACCATCAGAAAGCAAATATGAAAGAAATTAAAATACAGTGTAGTTTTCTCCATTCTTAAGCTTAATAGTACAGTTGAGTTTTCACCATTTGAATGCATAATATTATAAACTGTACCAATCTATAGACAAAAACAATTGTATGTATCCTCACCAGTACATATGTAGTATGGCCTAAATCATATTACATAAAATACCACAAATACAAATACATGTTCATGTACAGTGTATTATCGAATTTTGACTAGTTTTAGGAAGAAGAATTACCAAAATGCACTAGAGTATAAATTTATTTTTAAAACCATTTCTTGATCTTAATCACAAATGATAAATATTCCAAGAGTTGGAACAACTCAGTCTTATAGAATTAGTGACCAAGAATCAGTACAACCCAGTCTAATAGAATGAATGCCAAACCTGAATGCTGATCTTTACATACATTTAAATCTCATTCAAAATAAACACAAAACACTCTCTCAAATTATTGAAAAATCTTTCTACATAAATTTGAAAACTTGTAGCAAATTTTCTTGAAGTCTTAATGTCAAAGTCTTTCCTTTTTCGTATATTGACTTTCAATTTCAGTTAATATTCATTCAAATGTCCCAAACTACCCCTAAGCAATACTGGCTAATATATGTTTTTTTAATTGGATGCTGTTAATTTGAGTTTGTTAAACATGTTAAATAACCAATGGTCAATCAATTGATAACTTTGAAATCACAATAAATCGTACATTAGTACATAGATGTATAGCAGTCTACTGAAGTAACACAGTCTACTGAACTTCCCCTTGATTGTCTCCCACGTTGTAATCTACCCAGTCTAAGGCAATGGGTGCTGACAGCATGGTATCTGTGATATCGAAAGCCTGACAGAGAGCTAAAGACTGAGGGGATATCTGCCTACATAAGTCTGCAGCTCTTTCACTCACTTTACTGCCTGCTTCTATTGACATTGTCTTAGATATAACAAACCATGACAGGTCTTTTTCAACTACATCTACTAGATATAAATCATACAATGAGCTTAAAATAGGTTTTAACGAAGAGTCTGCCTGCTCAATTACTGCTGCAAATCTCTCGCTGATTAACCTCTCACCAAAGCTTTTAGCAGCTGCTTGAACAAGGTCGCTTTCTTGATACATCCATGTGTCAAACAGTTTCTCTTTTCCTGCAGCTTGCATTTTCTTCCCAAGGCTGATAAACAACAAGTTTTCACGTTTAAGAAGAAGTTGGTGTAAGTAGCTGGTGCTCGATAAATCTTCTGATTGACTTTTATCCACTTTGTGTGGCCTGAACACACCAAGTCTCTCTTTAGCCACCTTTTGCATGAGCACACTGTTGTCTCCCTCAGCTGTCATGGCTGCATGAGCTAGACCAATGAATGGACCAAAGCGATTACAGGACAGGTAACCCTGACCACCACATCTCTCTCGGGCTGTAGATGCACACTCCTCAACATGCCATGAAGCTAGAGGTTTAATCACACAACACATTGTAACTGCTTCAGCATGTTCAGACCCATCTTCTTTCTGGAAAGCCCAGCGATCTTTCACATAGTCTAGACCAAAGTTCATAGCGTAAGTACGAGCCAACAATGGGAGCAAAGCACGTTGCTGAAGTTGATATAGAAGAATGGGTGTATCAGATTTACCATTCTTGCCCACAGTTAACCTGGAGGCAGCATATCTTAAGGCGATAGCCATGGAAGCTTTGGCTACTCCCATGGACATACTTGCAATACAAATACGTCCGGACAATAGCTGATCAGCCACTGTAAGGAATCGAGCACGAGCACTCTTAATGCTACTACAAAAGTTACCATCATCATCAATATCTGAGTACTTATTAAGAAGATTCTCTTTTGGGACACGTACATTGTCAAAAAATAGTTTGGCATTGTCTACACCGTTCAATCCCATTTTATATCCCATGTCCTCAACTCTTACTCCAGGCATCACTTTTAGATCATCATCTCGGATTCTCACCAATACACCATGAATACCTGAAATCATATTATTGTTTGAGTTTAAGTGCCAGAATATAATAAAGTTAATAAATAATAAACTTTTCATGAAGTTATTCCAGAATACAACTAGAAAACTGACATGTCAGCAAGGGCCTCACTAGCACATTTTTTTGTGTGGCATAGAAAACTAGAGGCTGTTGCTCACCTGGATCTATGAGTGTTTTTAACAATAGCCACTCTCCAACATTGTAGATAAGTATATAATTCATGACAAAATCTTTCTTTTTTTTCTCCTGTCTTGCTGATCATTTTTACTGTTTCAGTTTCTTTCTATCTTAAAAATGCAAAAAGAGTAAAAAAAAAATAGTCATTTAAGGGCAATAACTCCCATAAGGAGTCAACTGACAATTTTGACTATGTTGGCCTATTTGAAGATCTTGTTTTGCTCACCATTTTTGCTTCTATCTCTATTATAGTGTTCAAGATAATAATTAAAAACGAAAAAAAAATGGAAAAAATCGTTTTAGGGCATAACTCCTATAAAAAGTCAACCGACAATTTCAACTATCATGACCTATTTGTGGATCTTGTCTAGCTGATTATTTTTGCTATTTAAAGTTTCTCTCAATCTTACTTTTCAAGAAAATAGTTAAAAATTGTACAATCATCATTTAAAGGGCAATAACTCCTATAAGAACTTGTCTGACAGTTTTGATGTAAATAGACCTGTAGATGGGTCAATCTTTACATTCTGATCATTTTGCTCCATGTCAGACTCTATGTATCTGTTGCCGCTTTCAAGATAAAATCAAAAACTTGAATTTTTCACTTTATCTTTGTAAGTTTTTTGCTCAAAACACAAAAAAGAGTTAACAAAATCAATAGTTAAGGTCAAAAACTCCTGTAAAGAGTCTACAAACGATTTTTGACAAATTGCTGATAATTTTTGCTATTTCAAGTGTCTATCAATCTTTTATAGTTTTCAAGATAATCATGATAATAGACAATAAAATGCTCCGCTGGGCGCAGCTTGATACGACCGCAGAGGTCGAACCCTGAACAGTTGGGGCAAGTATGGACACAACATTCAAGCTTGATACAGCACTGAATTTGGATTGTGATTAAATATTTGACACAGCATAGGTTTCTGACACAGAATGAATGTGGTCTAAGAACTTCAACATTCTTAATTTACCTACTCAAACCATATCATTATTATTTGCTTTTATATGTAAATCAGAAATAACCAATTTAAAATGGAAAATTTTAAAGAAAAAAAAATCCCCCTCCCCAAATTTTTTGAACCCCCTTATGATTCATCACCCCCTTATAATTCATCACCCCCAAACTCAATCCCAGCCTTCCCTTTGTGGTATGGTACCTTGCAGTACAATTTCAGAGAGATCCATACACTTGAACACAAGTTATTGTGTGGAAACTAGAAAAATGCTTGTTTTTTGGCCCCAAATTCCTAAACATTTAGGGCAATTACCCCCAAACTCAAACCCAGCTTTCCCTTTGTGATATGGAACCTTGTAGTACAATTTCATAAAGATCCATACACTTACACACAAGTTATTGTCTTGAAACTAGAAAAATGCTTGTTTTTTTGCCCCTTTTTGGTCCCTAATTCCTAAAATTTTAAGGCAATTACCCCCAAAATCAATCGCAGCCTTCCCTTTGTGTTATTGTACATGTACCTTGCAGTACAATTTCAGAGAGATCCATACACTTGAACAAAAGTTATTTTCTGGAAACTAGACAAATGCTTATTTTTGGCCCCTTTTTGGCTCCTTATTCCTAAACATTTTGGGCAATTACACCCAAACTAAATTCCAGCTTTCCCTTTGTGATATGGAACCTTGTAGTACAATTTCATAAAGATCCATACACTTACACACAAGTTATTGTCATGAAACTAGAAAAATGATTGTTTTTTGCCTCTTTTTTGGCGCCTAATTCCTAAAAATTTGGAGGCAATAACCCCCAAAATCAATCCCAGCATTCCCTTTGTGATATGGAACCTTGTGATACAATGTCAGAGAAATCCATACACTAACACACAAGTTATGTCTGGAAGTTACAAAAATGCTTATTTTTGGCCCCTTTTTGACCCCTAATTCCTTAACTGTTGGTACCATAACCCCAAAAATCAATCCCAACCTTCCTTTTGTGGTATTGAACCTTATGGTAAAATTTCATAGAGATCCATTCACTTAAACTAAAGTTAGAGTGCGAAAACCAATGTGTCTTGGGACGACGACGACGACGCCAACCTCATACCAATATACGACCACAAAATTTTTTTGCGGTCATATAAAAACACAAACAGTTGGTAAGAATCGTCATTAAAGAGAAATAACTCTAATAAAGAGTCGACTGACAATTTGGTACATTAAACTTATTTGTAGATCTTAACTTGCTGATCATTTTTGCATTTTCAAGTTTCTATCTTTCTATTCTAGTGTTTGAGATATTATGCAAATACGCAAACAACATGAAAAATTGTCATTAAAAGGCAAAAACTCCAATAAGGAGTTGACTGACAATTTATGCCATGTTGACTAGTTTGTAGATCTTGTCTTGCTGATCATTTTGCTTTCTTAAGTTTCTCTTTAATATTATTGTTTATGAGATAATAGGCAAAAATTAATATAATTGGTAAAATTTGTCATTTAAGGGCAATAACTCCTATAAGAAATTGTCTGACAGTTTTGATGTAAATGGAAAAAAAAATCTGTAGGTAAATCTCAACATTCTGAACATTACTGCACCTGTTAGATTTTCTCTATTTTTAGTGGTTTTCAAGATAAAAGACAAAACTTGCCTTTAAACCTTATGCTCTATTTTTAGCCATGTTTGTCATGTTATTTGACAAGCTGGGTCATAGGACACAATTTTTAAACTAGATACCCCAGTGATGATTGTGGCTAAGTTTGGCCATGCAGTTTCAAAGAATGTTTTTGTAAAAGTTAACAGACAACAAAGGACGCCATGTGTGGAGAAAAGCTCACATGGCCCTTTGGGTCAGATGAGCTAAAAGGTGTTAGGAATCAACTTTGAAATCAATACACAGCTTGTACCAAATTGTATTCAATTACTTATACAAGCATTAGATACTGATAAAATACTTTCATAATTCATTTCAGTTGTACCATATCAGTCAAAGACTGTTACATATAACTTTGGAGTTTTATCAATTTTACAGAGTAAATTGTATACAAACCTTGGTTAACCCCGTCCATCATCAATTGAGCAAACACAATGATATGTTTAGCATGTACAGCCCCATTGGTGATCCAGTATTTCTGTGCTACAGTTGTTGGTGTGTTAACAATCAGTTCCTTCGTGGCTTTATCATAAGTAGCTGTAGTCTCCATTTCAACTGCATTGTTTCCATATCCAAGTTCAGTCAGACCAAAACAACCAATGTCATCTAGTGTGTCAATACCTAAAAAAATCATCAGACCATAAAACAAGTGTCATCAAGTGTGTCAATACCTAAAAAATAACAAACATACTAGTAAAGCATCAGACCATGAAACAATTGTCATCTAGTGTGTCAATACCTAAAAAATAACAAACATACTGGTAAAGCATCAGACCATGAAACAATTGTCATCTAGTGTGTCAATACCTAAAAAATAACAAACATACTGGTATAGCATCAGACCATGAAACAATTGCCATCTATATACAATAAGGGGTTGTACAAATTAATGTAGAATGGTTGCTAATGCGACAACTATCAGACCATGAAACAAGTGTCATCTAGCTATATAGTGTGTCAATAACTAAAAAATACAATAATATTGTTATAACATCAGACCATGAAACAAGAGTCATCTAATGTTTCAATAAACAAAGTTTGTACAAATGTAGAATGATTGCTAATGAGACAACTATCCAACCGAGTCCAAATTATCCAGATTTAAGCAAAGTATAGGTTACCATATAGCCTTCAACAATGAGCAAAACCAATTAAAACCAAAAAAATTGATGGCCTGATTTATGACAAAACAATAATAAACATGATTAATCAAAGGTAATAGCTATATATAGACAAATGAAGAAATCAATCATTTCTATGTATCAAACATCTTATATATTATATATAATACATCTCGGCATTCAATAATGAGGTCAAGGATTGTGTATTGAGATATATCATGAAGGGTCTGCTTAATTATGTAAGACTTATTGGTCAATATGATTGGCATTTAAGGAGGTGGGACATTCTAATTAAGGCCCCACCTTGTCGCTGATTGTTTGGTAATCACGGCAGTTGTCAATCATACTGGTACATACGATATGTATTGCATCATTAATATTACTCTTATCTAATAAAATGACAAAACTAGCCTGCAAATTGACAAAACTAAAGACATATAAATACTTGAATGAACTGTTCAAAAGATATAAACAAAATTTTTCACAGTTCATATGTCAGTCAGGTGTAAAAAATAATGTAATACTTATACAAGTCATGTTTATTTACTTGAAGATGTGAGTAATATTTACTTCTATAAGTAAATTTGTAAGATTTTTATTTCATTTTCAAGTTTTGAATAATCTCCCTTTAATCTCCAAAAATTTACTTGTACAAGTATTTTTTTTTACAACCCCTTATATATAATTAAATTCTCAAGTTTTGGGAGGTCAAAACATGGCTTAACAAAATTTTTCTGGTTTGCTAATTTTTTTTTAATTAGAGTCCAACCTTCTATCTCAAAAACTAATCAAAGAAATCTATTGTGCACAGGTGTTAAGTAACTGTGCAACTCCTTCATAAAACTGCTCCCTGGAGGCTTGTAAATGAGCAGTATTTTTAAGATACAATGTAACAGTCAAAGGAGCTTTTCATTGTCAATGAAATTATACTTTTATGACTAGCAAAGACAACTATATTAATGACTGACAATAAAACACTATATTGGAGCAATGTAGTCAAGAGAAATACAAAAAAAGAAGAAAATAAGACTTTTTTACGTAAAAACAATCTGAAAGACTATACATGTATATATAGCTAAGGGATATAACTCTACCTCCAAAATAATTTACCTGTACCAGTAATTTGTCAGTTAATAAAAAAACACTTGTATTACATAAGTATTACCCCTGACTGTATGGGCATAGGTACACATTAGAATTATAGCATTAGGGAAACAAGTATCCACCAATTTATCAATATCGCCTTATTCCTTTTTGTAGCTCTCCTCGAGCATTCATTTGTTGCAAGTACAATGTATAGGGAACCATTTTTAATTTAGGGTTTACAAGTTTGGCTAGTGTAAGGGTAATCCCCCTCACCCCCCCCCCCCACCCCCCCCCTTTTCCCCAATTTTTTTTTGGATATATTGTTGTGTATGCATTTTGTTTGAATTTATTAGGACATTTAAAGGTCATTGATTTTATAGTTTACTAGGCCAAGGAGGCAGAGCTAGACAGTGAAATAGCAACTTTTGAGAATGAAGTTAGAGCACTGGTCTAAGCTCCTCCCATTCTTTGCTTTTCCTATCACAAGCGACACACGGCGGGACTGGAGAGTGCAATAACTAAAAAATCGTTCAGTTAACGCACTCCTCTAAAAATAACCAAAGTAAACTCACTTGAAGATCAAAGGAAAAATTACCATTCATGTTACAAGTATATATAATATCTGCAGGTGTAGGATCATAATTACATAAGTTTACACTTAGGACCTAGCAACATGCAACTCAGTCTTACTTCTTTAGATAAATTTTTACCATAATCATTGTTTTATTTGTCCTACCTTTAAGCAGTTTTTTGTGATGTCTTTCTGTACCAAGTTTTAGAACTGTACCACCAAACAAATTAAACTGAACTGTCATCTTAGTTGCCATAGCTGCATCAATGATGGCTGCTAACTCATGGGCAGCAAAGATTCGTAATGGATTGTCATTGAAATCAAGTACTGATAAAAAACCTCCATCACATATACGTTTAAGTCTCTGTAAAGCTACTTCTCTCTCCTCGGCTAAGGAAATGTTGTACTTTGGTATCATAATGGGATCACTAACAAACTGGCGGAATTGTTTACGCATTTCGTGGTTATCATGATCAAGTAGTTCAGTCATTTTGTCAAGATTGAAAGCAGGTGCTGGCCATGACTTACGAAGCTCGTTTGGTTGTACAGCAATCATTCTTTTCTGTACATTACATGATTGAGGGATGCTTATTTTGTTTTGTAAAACAGTAGGTTGGCCTCTGGTTGATAAATGTTGCATGGCTGAGGCAAGACTTCGTAGTTGCCTAGATCTCAGCATGGTGATGATTTTTTCACTGAAATACAAATAATGTTCTCTCTAGAATCTAGATTTAGATGTTAATGTGCTTTTATTTCTATATACTGAACAAAGGGAAGTAATCCATTTTTTCCACTGAACAATTATATATTATACTTTATTAAAAATTTATCTATGGTTAGGGTTAGGGTAAGGGTTATGGTCTGTCTGAACCTGTTCTTGTTTTCTTACTATCAGATGTTTACATGAGCAGCTAGACAGTGTCACTTGAGCAGAAATCGCTTATCCTTCTAGAGAACCTTATTCTGTCTCATGTTTAGACAAACGGTAATAAATGTTTTTCCAAAAATAGGTTTGGTCGGATGTCAGGGCCTTTTATAGCCGACCATACGGTATGGGTTTTTCTCATTGTTGAAGGCCGTACAGTTGCCTATAATTGCTTACATCCACTTCATTTGAACTTTGGTAGATAGTTGTCTCATTGGCAATCATACCACACCTCAGGCCTCTACAATAACTATTTTTTCAACTTGCCCAATAGGACAAGTACACATCAAAACTTACTTGTCCGAATGAAATTGTAACTTGTCCAAAAAAACAACTTAATATTAACCTTTTTTGCATTTTAAGTTGATTCAATGAACATAAGAATAGAATTTGATTTATATCTCTTGATATCCTTTTCAAAAATATGAGTCGAGAACAAATGAATCAAGTCATGTCACAGGATTTAGGTTCTAGTTTTCATCAATGCCAAAGTCTCATCAGACTCTGCACATGATCACAGTCTGGTAGGCCTGTCAGTCTACACTCATTTGGTTTGTATCCTGATCTTTCATGTTGTTAAAATATTGATTATTATGATTAATGCCTTACAACAAACAGCTTTGTTTTTAATATATTAAAATGTGTATTCAAACGCAATCAAGTATTGTTTTGTCTACATATGATCAAATATGATTCTGTGAATTTTATGGTCAATAATTTCTTCATTTTTAATTTAAAAAAATATTTTTGTTAAATAAAATTTATCATATTTATTATAAGCAACAGAAAAAGGTAGGGAAATGAGGTACTGGTTGGCTTGGTCCCGAAATGTCTCCTACGGTGCCATACTGTCTATTAAACATGGAAGGATTGGTTTCCGTGCCTATTCCGAACGGTCTTGTTACCTTATCTACAAAGCGCATTCTTGATTTCATCAAAGACTGGTTTCCGAGAATATTACGCGTTTTATCTGTTATAAAGTATCTGTCAAAGAACCAGTTTTAAATTATCGATTGCAAGTAAACATGGTAAACATGTCAAATTAATATTTGTTTTTATCTTTTCTTGTTTTTTGTTTATTACTCAATACTTTTGTTGGATTTAATTTATTTTCTACAAAATGATTTTACTTGTCCCGTCGGACAACCTTGATCTAGCTTTTACTTGTCCGACCTTTTTTTCCTCTGGTACCGGACAATCGGACAAGCGTTATTGTCGAGCCCTGCACCTCCTTATTTTTATATTGATGCATGTGTAAACCTTGAAACAAAAAACAAGTTTCTTTTATCTTACCACGTTTTATATGTGCTTTGAATATCTTAACATGCTCTGTAGAAGTATACCTACATGTAGATATATACATTGTACAATGTTGTAATTAAAAGTAAACCAATTCCCCTAGGCCATTTTTGTTATCAAATATATAAGAAATCCCAACTCCCTAAATCTGAGAATTTTAATACGAAACATGTACAATGTATATGTATCAACTATTTTAAACCAATATTCCTTAAAACATCTTTTCAAGTATGACCCCATCATGAATATTCATTAAATATAGCATTAGAAAATAAAATGTATACATGTATTACAAAACAGGAAATTTCATTTGGAAGTAAATTAATTTACTTCAGATTCAATATTCTAAATATGAAATATTTTATTACATACATGTACATGTACATTGTACATGACATATATAGTAATTAAATAGAGGATTTTACAATAATACAAAATAGTCCTTAAAATCATTCAAGACACATATATAACCGTTTTGGGTTTGGCACAACAAGTCATATTTATAATTTATCGGTCATGTCCGGAAGATACGACCGTTTTGGAAGCCCTGACATATACATGTAGATTTAATTTTTTACATTATTTATAACCGTAAAAAAAATGATGCAATTTCATAATTTATTCTCTTAAAATAAACTAAATAATATCATTGTCAAAATTTCATCTAAATTAATCTTTTTTAATTGTCCCGATTTGTTCCAGATAAATAGGGCTATTAACCATGTTAACTGGGGAGAAACACAGACATTTGTCTTGAATTGATACCAATCATTTCTTTTGAATCTCAATAACTTGCAAGATTCAACTTTTTTCTAAATGGACGACCTTTGTGGTCTCGTGGTAGCCTTGAGTGCTGGCAGACATGGGTTCGAACCCCAATCTGGACAAACCATAAACTACGTTCATACGTTGTACTAAAGAGTTATTTATACTGACTTCATCCTCTTTCACAGATAAGATGGTACTAACACCTGCCATATATTATTTCAGAGGGATCACAGGTAACATGGTACTAACACCTGCCATATATTATTTCAGAGGGATCAATCAGGTTCATTGCATCTGCAGTTTGGATTAAGATAGCTCGATCTGGCTGTATACTCAAGTAAGCTAAATTGTGGCATTGAAAAATTATCTCCCTTTGAAAAAAAGTCCATAAAATTTCAGTTTCTTACTTAATATTTGGAAATCCAATGTAAAACTTTACAGGCATTATAAAAAAAATAGTTGAATAAATCTAGGTATAAAAAATTAAAACTTTTATTATGAGTTTTGGTAAATATTTTTTCACAATAAACATGGAAAAAGAAGCAGTGCTTCTTAATAATGTCTGCAAAGATTTACGTTGCACTTTCTTATAATTAGTGAGAAAATTGAAATCTTTATTTCAAAGTGAGATATTTTTTATATAGATATAAGTAGATGTGGTATGAGTGCCAATGAGACAACTCTCCATTCAAGTCAAAATTTATAAAAGTAAACCATAGTAGGTCAAAGTACGGTCTTCAACACAGAGCCTTGGCTCACTTACATGTACACTTGGACTTACAATGTTGCAGACATGTGGGTGTCCTCAATTTTCAAATTTATCAAACTTTTGACATCAAATTAATAACGGCCTTTAAAACATGTAAAAAGGTAAAAATAAAAAACATAAAAATTGCTGTTTTTAAATATGAACCAATTTTAAGGGGACAGATATCTTTTTTAAAAATTGTACATGTACTTGTATACTAAATCTATAATTAAAAAAAATCTGAATGTATAAGGGATAATTATTTACCAGTACCGTTACATGTAAGATATTTTTTATTCCAATTAAAGGGCACATGAAAAGTAAAGTAATTTATTACACATATAACCCCTGTATGTATGTACTTGTAGATTTCTCTGTTATTTGTCTATTGTCTGGAGTAATTTTGTATATTTGGTCTTAATTTTGTCTTCACCTGTTTTTGTCTTCTCCTGATGTGAACATGTATAATATTTTTTACAATTAAATTTGGATGAAATATGTAGCAAATTTCTGGAAAAAAATATAATACTTATGTTTAAATCTGACATCAGAAAATGAGAATAATGAATCACAGCAAAAATATAACCAACTTTTGGCTACTATATTCATAAACCTGTGAAAATGTTATTTTTATCAGTACCAAGTTTATCAAAATCCAACTTGAAATGATCTCACAATATTTTTTGGAAGAAAAAAGATATTTACATGAATTATATCAAATAATATGTTAGTGGCGAATACTTTGCATAACACCATATATATAACAGTATATCTCAAACAGTCAAACTGCAGATTGAACATGTCAAATTCTAGCAACTTACCAATAGAGACATATATACTACACCTGTCTCTGCCTAAAGTTGCAATTAGCCCCACAAAAATTGCAAGCATAGATGTAAAAAAACGCACATTTCTATATATCTTCTGTCTCTGAAATCACATAATTTGTTTTCCAACTTGGTTGTGTTACATAAAAATAAATATGAGTTTTACCATGTTTAAAGTTAGACCAAAGGTAAAAAATAATCTAAATAAAACATTCAAAATATATCGGATATATTTTTTAATATATTCTTACCCTTTTCACTATTAAAACTAGTTATTAAATTCGTAGAGAAATAGCTCAGTCAAGTTGCATGAACTTTGATCCCAAAACAGCAGTGGTGTCGCTGAAAACGGTTTACCGATACGTCTTATTACCACAACCGAGTATTGGGTCCGTTTGTAAACCAACATATTATCCTGTGAAAAAGTGTCCCACAGTGGACAAAATTTCATGGTTACCTATGGTTATTTTTTGTTCCCTTCAATGAAATAATGTCCAAGAAGGATAACTTTACACATGTTATTTTGTCTATATAAGTTATAGACATGTAACAATAGTTTATAGATTAAAAACTATTGTTGTAATTTTTTTTTACTATGATAACATTTTATGTAATGAAATTGTAAAATTTCTATTCTAAAAATGCATGATTAAAATTCATTTATCTTTTATTCGTTTTCTATAACTATTAGCATATACTTTAGATTAGAGTGATACATTTTTTTTCATTGGTTCAGTGAATTTTACATTTTACCTGGCTGGTCCATTTCAATCATTGATCCTGCTTGTAATTTCTACCCAGTAAAGTTTTCCTTTCAAATCACTATATTCGTATAGTCATTCTTCTAATCAGTTTTCTCTGAACAGGTCATAATTTTTATTAAGTTGACGCGTCGATCGACTTAAATTTATAATTTTTGAACTTTTGTATTGTGACTGTAATTTGTTTTTTTGTGTTGTGTGTATAATTTATGTTGTGTAGACCTTTAAGTTCTTTGAGATGCTGATCCAAGCCTAATAAATGTTTTACATACTTTTCTTTTGTTTGAAATTTGCCAGAGAGAGTTAAAAGATTGAAGAGTAATTTTGTCAACGGCAGTCACTTATCCAAAGTGATATTTTGTCTATACCAAGACAGTATTTCATGGATTTATTGTCATGAAATTTTGACTCATTAAATGGAGGTTATAAAAATTAACATTTTTGACCTGATCCTGATCCTAAGGTCAAAGTTGACACAACTTGTCTCTCTGTACTGTTTTTTTTCCCTCTTATGGTTCACCGTTGCACATGGTAATTACTCGCAGTACTTGCGAATATTTGTTTAGGCGCAGGATCGGGATTCAGGGCTTACTAGTTCTTGAAACCGCCCTGATCTTGAGCACTATATACCCCCCTACAATTTGAGCTGTTACTTCGTAGGTTTCTCTGTTAGCAAATGCTTACATGGCCTAGGTGATGACAGGATTGATTGCATGTCTTTCGGGATGTTCAGCATTTTCATCTGGCTTAGAATGTCTTCTCTTTCATGATGGTGTCTTGGGCAGTATAATAAGAAATGTTCTGTTGTTTCTTCTTCGCCTCATTCACAATATGACGTGAGGGAATGACCTATTTGGTTTCTGTATTTATCTAATCTACTGTAACCTGTTCTCAGTTCTCGATAGCAAGAGTCTTCTCAATAGACAGCTGTTGGTATATATACACCACATACATACACGGATATCTTTAACAAACACTATGTGCGATTATTCTGAAACCTAACTCCGTAATAAAATTACTACAATTCCTCCGCCTAGCACTTGGAATTCCAATTCCAAAATGTTACTTATCAGAAACGATGAAAATGTTTCACAGGCTTCACTACATTCTGTTGTCCTATTGCATCTAAATTTTGATAATGTATGTTCACATAGATTTTTAGCTATATACGAAAAGGTTTTTATGAATTTCATGTAATACAAAACTAAACCTAAAATGGTCTGAGGTCTTTCACATTTTGTGAAGACCTCATTTTTGCAACAGCTTCACATTCGTTTCGGTTTAATACATTGTGTAATAGTTTCATTCCAGACTTTTTAAGTCTGTCTATAATTTGACAGAGGTTTGAAAGATGTTTATCAAATGGTTTTCCATAAACAATTAAATCGGCAAGACATAGCACTGCAATATGCCACTGAAAACTACTAAATGCTGCTTCAATTATGCTCTGGAACATTGATGCCGCATTACATAGACCAAATGTCATAAATACATACCTATAAAGTCCAACGTGTGGGGTTGAAAATGCAGTCACTAGGTTTCATTTGTATTTTCTGATAAAATAAGCAATATCCAAATCCAGTAATGAGAATCAATGAGATTTTCAAAAAAATCATTTAATTTAGTTATCTTCAATCCTCGGTATCGGATACACATCTTGTACAGCCTTTCCATTTAATTTCCGGTAATCCGCACATACCTGCTATGATATAAAAATAAGAAGATGTGGTATGATTGCAAATAAGACAACTCTCTAACAGAGACCTCATGAAATATAAGTTAATAACAGTCCTTTTTTGTACCTAAAGAATGGGAGCAGATCATGGACTACATGATTTTTCTATGACATTCATACTTTTCTTCTGTAAATGTTCTATTCAGTTGAACAATGGTACTCTCCTCGGGTGTTCTGTGATTGGTGTTTCATCATTTAGATATATAAAACGCATCATCAACAATGTTTTTCTAGGTTTTCCATTAGGATTTTCAAATACCTCTTGGTATTGCATTCACACCTTCCAAAGTTGATGGGTCTCTTCTTGTGTTAATAACTTCTTTCCACAAAGAAACATCTTATCCATATATTGAGGTAACTGTGCATCAGTCTTGTATCTGTTCTCGTCAATGTGACAAATATCAATATTATCATGCAATCTGTATCTCAACATTGTACAGTATGATATCTGTATTGACTGCATTAAATAATCTGGCATACATTATTCTCATATATGCAAGTACAAAAATAATGCTAGCGCTAGTCCATTATCTTCCATAAAATTTCTCTCAGGAGACAGAACACCATCAATATCCAACGAACTATGCCCTACCTTTCTTGTCGGTCCCGATTTAACTAGTACTACGTACTATATGTTTAGCAGGTACCATTCTTGTCTCTAAAGCAACTAACTTGATCAAATGTTTATAATTTGTTCCTGAAATGGCATATTCTTGCCATTTATCTCAAAAGAAGATGTTTTCAAATCCCAATGGCAACGATACACTTTATAAGGTCTTCTTCTATCAAATTCAATTTGATTTCACCCCTCCAACAATTATGGAAAAAAATGATACAAAAATAAAGCCAACAGTAGTATACCGCTATTCGAAATTCATAAATCGATTGAGAAAAAAACAAATCCGGGTTACAAACTAAAACTGAGGGAAACACATCAAATATAAGAGGAGAACAACGACACAACAGAAACTCAACACTAAAATGCAACACACACATAAACGAACTATAATATAACAAAGGCCATTTTCCTGACTTGGTACAGGACATTTTAAGAAAAAATGGTGGGTTGAACCTGGTTTTGTGGCAGCCAAACCTCCCGCTTTTATGGCAATGTTAAATATAACATTAAAATGACAAGATTACATGACAAGACAAAGTCAAAACTGCAGTTCCTAACATCTTTAAACTACTTCCATTTTCGGTTTCGAATTTTGTTTCCTTTAGGCGTAGCAAAGGTCTGCTAAAGTGCAGAATGTTTCTGTAGCTTTTCCAGTTACAAAGGTTCTTCTAGCCCCGCTATCTATTTTTAATGTGATTGGAGATCCTCCAAGTTGACCGTCAACAACCACACCAGCGTTTCCTTTAACATTTTTTAAGAATGCTGCATCATTCAGCCCGATGTCCGATTCACCTTTCTCATTGTCCTGTAGAAATTCAAGTTCTGAAGACAATGTTTCTTTTTTCTTACAAACGTCCTTTGGGTGAGATGCATTCTACTTGTGAATGATTTGTTTCATGAGTTAAGTTCTGGTCGACTTTTCGTTGAACAGACGAACCATTCAACTATTTCAAGTGAGCCATGTTACTACCATCAATGTCCTCAAAACAAATTTGAGTGCTACTTGACGTCTTTGAAGTAGTCAGGATACACTCTGTTTCACTTTATTGGGCCTTTTGGAAACACCGGTTGGGACAGGGATCGATGTATGTAAGACACTATTTAATAGGGGACATTATTTTATGTTAAATATACACCCTAAGATCTAAAATACTATGACAGACTATATACAAAGTCAAATAATTTGTAATATTGAGTAAATCATTTTGCATTATATATTTCTGCTTCAACGAAATGCCGCTTAAATATTTCAACGTTACATGGAGATATATTCTCTGTAATCAATCCAGCTGTTTCTTAAACACTGAACAACTAATATTTTATGGATCCACCTCAACTAGCTCTAACGAAACGTTAATGGTAATCCTTATCCTGTCTATATCGTGCTATTATAATTTGAGAGGTACTTTGTCTTCATGCAAAAATAATGGATGACTTTTCCTGTCCTTACGTTTCCTTACCTTAATGGTGATATGGAGTGAACATTTCTCAGTTGGTTATATATGCTCGTGTTTGCAGTGACTATATATGATCCGTGTTGTTGCAGATATTCTTTAATTAAATCAGAGACCTGAAGGCCCATTGGTGGTCTGGGGCTATTTTCTGCTCTTTGGTTGGGTTGTTGTCTCTTTGACACATTCCCCGTTTCCATTCTAAATTCTATTGTTATCTTTTATATCGGTATTATAAGATAAAGTGCCTTTTCTGCGCTGATTTTTTATTGTTTCGCCTTTGTTTTATACAATTTTGTTATGCCAATCGAGATCAAAAGGGGCGGTTTGAATGTTCAAGAACATGTATGTCAAAATGAGGAAGTGTGTTATGATTGCCAATTAAACAACTATTCACTCAAGACCAAAGGACGTGCAAGTAAACAGTGGTGATTTCCTTGACGTAGCTGGTAGATATAAAACCACAATTCATTAGGTGCACTAGTGGTCGAGTACTCCTTAAGCTCAATTTGCAAGGCGGTGGCTCATCCAGTTCTAGGTACAGGTATCGGCTGGTACAGTGGAAATTGTGGAAGACAAATCATGCTCTACTGGTACACAGCCTTCAATAATGAGCAAAATCTATAATGTTTAGTAAGCTGTAAAAGGCCTCGGGAATAAAACAAATTAAAAAAAAAATTAAACGAGAAAACCAACGGCCTGATTTAGGTAGATTGGGTGTCTTCCGCCATCCTGGATAGTAAAATAGCAGGTTAGATCTTTAATAAAACA